TGTCTTGCAGTTCTGGCAAATAGGCTGAGAAGAGACATCTTCTGGGAGCCATCTAGACAGGCTCCATTAAAGAGACACACAGAAGGAAAGACTCCACTTTATGCCTCTCTACATTTTGTAGCCATCTTGGGTCCATAAAAGGCAAACCAATTCACTGAGGATGACAGATCATAAACAGAGAAAAAAGTTAGGTCATCAATGATGTCAATACGCCACTGAATTCCTCCACTCTCAAAATGCTTTACCTCCAGACTTCTAAGTATGTGAAATAATAAATTTTACTTATTGCCTGAGTAACTTCGGTGTTGAATCTTCTGGTTTTTGCCGGGAAGACATGTAAAAGGTATTTTTTATGGGATTCCTCACACAGGATCTTAAAAAATGTTTTCTTTATCCTTGTCTTGTGCCCCCTTACTCCAAATATATTTTAATAACATACATCTTACAGTCACATCAGAGGGTTATGATGAAGTTTAAATTATCTTATTAGGTCCAAGTTTGGAAAGCAAACCTTGATTTCTGACAAAGGCTATAGTTATTGGACACATATGAGACATTCAAAGACACTGGATGGTTTGGCTTCAAAGACACCTGTATCCAGAAATATATCTGACTGTCCAGAAGTACAAAGCAGGAGGGTAATAAAACTAATTTAAATAGATCACAAACGATTCCCCTTTGCTCAATTTTATTTCAAGCATAGCAGGGAATTGTAACTGGGAAGAAATAAAAACATGCAGAAGTAATAGAATATTTCTCTCTGCACATGTGCTAAAGTGCATTGTTCTGATATTCAGTCAGGGTATATCAATACTGTAGGAGAGATTTTAAAAAGTAAATACATGTATGGAATCATTTTGTGTGTGTGACTATAGTAGATACTTAATATACAAAATGCAGCATGATTTGCCCACAGAGTGGCTACCAGATGGAGATGGCAGTTGGTGGACAAGTAACTGAACAGTCACAAGGTAGAGTCATGAGTGCTACAGAGATGTGCCAGGCAGATGGTCCAGGGCTGCCTAACTGCCTGAGATCTGATGGTAGCTGATTATGATTGAGTTAGAGAAAGGAAGTTCTACAGATAAGGAAACAGTCATTCTGAACCTTAACCAATGCATTCAAGGAACCACAAACAGCTAAGGGGGCCAGAACGCTTCCTCCATGTGAAAATGTGGCAGGAAAGTAAGCTGGAAAGGGAGGTAGGAGCTGGACTGTGAACAGGGGGAATTAATGAGGAACGACACAGGGTAGTGGGGAATGGGCAGTGGAATTAGCTAACTGGTGAGGGTGATTATTTTAACTCATTAAATGCGTCATCCACACTGGAATAATTTTAGAGTGAAAAGGGGCACAGTTAATAATGATTATGAGTAACAGGTATAAATGGGAACTGCTTGGGGTAAACCAGCCACCCTAGTCACACTGGAGAGTTCTTTATTTGTCAGAATTAACACAACATGGTGGCTGATCTTCTGGGGATGGTGAGGAAGAATAGAGAGCAAAGAACCCTTCTCAGGCTTCTGCTGTGAGCAACACCAGGGGCGACTACTTTCACTGCGATAAAAAATGCAGAAGAAGGAACAGACTCTTGGGAGAGAAAATGAGTTATACTTTGGATATGTTGAATTTGAGATGTTTGCAGGAAATCTAAGAAGCCATGTCTATAGAAACCTGAAATGTGAATTACAAAAGCAACAGAGAGATGTTCAGTACTAAGATAAAAATTGGGGAATCATTAAAATAAGATGGAAATTGAAGCTGTGGAAAAGTTGCTTTTCCCTTTGTGTCTCACTTTATACAGAAAGAGAGGACAACCAAAGGAAGAATTCTCATGAATAATAACAAGAACAAAATGTGTGTCATATGTAAAAGAGGAGAATCTCATGCAGGAGGTAGAAAAAAATAATCAAAGAGACAAGGAGAAAACAAATAAGGAGGTAGGTGTAATGGAAGAGAAGATGGGAATTATTTCAGGAGAGATGCTGGACAGATAGCTTTAGTTTTGCCTATATGCCTATCTCCTTTATCTGGTAACAGAGCTTCCCTATCTGTGAGAACTCCATCCCTGTGTGCCTTCTCTCACACGTGCACACACACACACACACACATACTTCAGCAGCAAAGTTAATTATCTGGTGCTTATTATTATAGCCCATCACTCTCAGGTTATGATGATTAATTCAAGGGTAGTCTTGTGATTTAAATGTATTTCTCCCGAGCATTTTAATCTTGACTGAATTGGCACATGGAGACGTGGCGGTGAGAGGTGAGTTATTCCAACGCCAGAGTTCAAAAGAGGCTGTCCATGAGATCTGGACTTAGATCTATGGCTCAGCCCTGATTCTTAAACTGCTTATACTCCAAAACATGTTAAAATTGGTCACTGGAAATGGAGCATTGCATGTAACAGTATCTAACAAGTTGTAGATTGAGTGGAAATAGGGTAGAGGACAATTAAGTTTCCTCTCCCAGACAGAGACACCTGCAAACTTCTTAAAATAGCCACAGAGCATCTGATTAACCTATTATCTCTTGTGTTTTATGAATTAGACTTTGTGCTAATGAAGCTGGAGGTTTATTATACTTGGCATCAGAAAAGTCAGGGTACTGGAATATGTAAGCTTCTTTGGGTAGTCTTCAGTATCGTTCTAAAAAAGGGAAGTATTTTAGTCTGAACTGGCTCACGTGCAGAGCGGTAAGGCTATGTAGTCTGCCCAAGGGAGGTCATTTATGACTTTGGCTAGCAGTTCAAGGTGGTTGAACATTTGCTAACCTTTTCCCTTGTTGAATGGAAAAGCCAGATTCTGTTCCTTCACTAAAATTAATGTGAACCTAAAAGGGAGCAAGGAGATTTGGTGGTAGATAAATCTGAGAACAAAAAGGAACGAAAGAAGGTAATGGGGACAAACTGACCACCTAGGTTTCTACCACAGAGCTCCTTCTGCTTGATAAATAACAATTACTATCACTAACGTAAAAGAAAGAAACCCACTGGTGTATAGTCTAGTGGCAAGTGGGAATATTTGATTAAGAGTGCTTTACAGTGGCTGCCTATTGCTTAGTATTTTTACCTCGAGGCAGGTACAAGATAGCACTTAGGTTCATAAATCTTGACCTATCAAAACTTTGATACTTTGGTTACTAAGCCAGGAGTCACAAAAATGCAAATAACCCACAGTTATCTAAAATCACAAGGAAATTACACAGCCAAGGAACCCCCAAACCTGCTAAATAGAGGTGTCTGTTTGCTCATTGCCTACCCCATTTCCCAAATTCCCAAATCAAACAAAATTGATCTGCTAAAACAGAAAGGTCTCCATAAGAAACTTACTCCCCACTTCCCATCTTTCATGTGGCAACAGAGGGCAAAGGAGAAGGAGAAGCCTTGCATGGAGCCAAACCACAGCCAGGTTAGTTGGCAAGGGGCTCAGTCCTCCGCCAGGGCAGAAGGACTGCTGTCCTTGACCTTCAGGGCATACTATCCGTCCTCGCCCATTTCCTCACACATGTGCAGTCTCCTCCCACCTGTCTCTCTGTGTACTCCATTTCTTCCCTAAATCCCTTTTGTGCTTTATTTTCCAAGACAGTCCTACGCATTCCTCAAGCCCCAGCACATAAATGATCTTCCCAAAGCCTAACCCTCCCTAATCCCAACCCCCTGCCTGGATCCGATGATGCCTCAACTCTGTGCTCCTGCTGCAGCTGGTGAATCCTTACTTCCGTGACTATTTTCTCCCTTCCTTCCTTCCTTTTTTTTTTTTTTTTTTTTGGCTGTATGGTCCTTCTTTCCATCATAAGACTATGCATAACTTTAGGTCAGAGTAAGTGGCATTTCCCTTTGTTTTTCCAGGGCTTCGTTCACCATCTGCCATCAAAATTACAAATTACAGACATTATTAAGTACACAATAAATGCTTTTTGAATGAATTAAAAAAATCAATCAGTATAGACAATTCACTCAAGAAGATTTGCTGTGAAAGAAATGAATGTAGATCGAGTGCTCAATAATTAATTAAGCTCTTACCACGTCCTGGGAACCCTTGCACGGGCTTTATATTTTATTTACTCAAAACAATCCTTCCTTAAGTAGCTAGTTATTCGTGTCAGTTTACTGATGAGGAAACTGAAGAACAAAGTTAAATAATTTACCCTAAGTCATACAGTTAGTAAGTGTCAGAGCAAAATATAGCTCCAGGTTAGTCTGACTTCTTACCCACCTGTATTATCCACTAGTTTATACTGCATTTCTTGAACGTGGGGAAAGCAGGTGCAAAGTCTTTTTTTTTTTAATTTAAATATCTTCATGATGTACAGAAAAAATCAAATCAGCAGGTTGTTTATGCTTTAGCCAATGAGTTTTTTGGTGCTATCTAGACAGTTTATTTGTACTTTAGGCAGCTTAAGACTTAAACTGTCAATTACATTCTGTAAGACCAGAAGTGCCTTTTATATTCTGTCTGACATATAAGAAAATGCCAAAACAAATCAGATTGTAAGTCTGGCAAATATTACTAAAAACACTTGTATAAAGTTAGTGATTTTTGAATATGTCATAGAAGTATTTCCAATAATAATTGTGTAGATTTTTGTGTGATTATGGCCTTAATTGTTCTTCAGAATTACATAAACTCTGGCTGTGTTAACTGGCTATTGGTTCTTTTGACTAAAGTTTTGATTAAATTTTTGATAATAGTAAAAAAGAAAAACCTAAAGGTTCATGTATTTTTTAAGTAAACCAAAATAATCAGCAGTAAATTAATTTGTACTTACTGGTTGGGTTAAACTGACTAGTTAATAACTTTCATTTATTTTCTGACTTTATAATCCTCCAAAACTTTCCCCACTCTCAACATCATTTTGAACTAATCTTGTTTTGTAAAAAGTCTATGAATTATAAAAGAAATACACATTTTTATAGTCAAAAACTATGATATGAATAAAAGTTGACATTTTGAGATATTTTCTTCCAATCTTTAATTTTGTAAATTTAGAGTTATAGCCACATTGACAGATGAATTTATTTAGCTAGAAACAGACACAGACACAGATACAGTGAAAGTAACTTTTAGACATCTTCATTTGTCACTTAAAATAAGACTTTTCCATATTATTAAATACTTTGAAAGTCTATCAAGTAGAACATCCTATGAGTACATCTTAATTAATAACAGTCGTCCTCTTTTGCTGTCCTTTCAAGTCATATTCAGGTTTTATTTTTATGACCAGATAAATGATAAAATCACTATGCATAAATCTTTGTTCATGGTTCTGATTATTACTTGAGGATTATGTTTTAGAAATTGAATTACTGGGTCAAAGACAGGTTTTAAAGGTTTATTTATATATACTTTAAATATTTAAAATTACTTTTTAGGAAGGTTGCACTAAATTGCTGTCTCACAAGAAGAGTAGAAAATGTCCATTTCACACACTTGTCTATAGTGAGAAATATGATAAAAATTACTAATTTGAAGAGTAAAAATGTTATAATGTTTATGCTTTAATGTGCATTTCTTTCTTTGTGAGTGAATTTTTTCATGTATTTATTGACTATATGCACCTTTTGTATAACTTGTATCTTATGTTCATGTTATTTATGGTGTGTTTTTCATATTAATTAATGTGTGCTTTTTAGGTAGTATGGCTTTGAACACTTTGCTCATTATTTTTATGACCACTATTTTTATGACATTATTTTAATCTCGTGTTTATTTGGGGTTTTCTTTAATCTTTCCATGCTAAATCTTTTGACTATTACAATATTTAATGAGATAAAGCACCTGAGTCATTTCAATGAAATTGTGCCAATAATATGCCAAATATTTTAAACATTGTCAAATAACTGGACAGCTGATGGAATTTTCTATTTTTCCCATTAATAATATCAGTTTCTAAGTTTCCACTTTGTTTTCTAAATTGAGCTATAATTAACATACAATATTATATTAGTTCCAGGTGTACAACATAGTGATTTGGTAATTTTATACGTTATGAAATGATCACCCCAATAAGCCCAGTTACCACCTGTCACCATGCGAGCTGTGATAACGTTATTGGCTATTTAGAATATAAGCATTTACTCAAAATACTGATTTAAAATTAAAGAAATTGAGCAAGTGTGCTCTTTACTGATTTTGTATTGCAAATATTTTGCTGAGTACAGAGATGAAAACAAGGGCTGGCCTTCAGTTTTCTGCTCTAATCATCGGCTTTATTCAAACAAAATGCTAAGCAATTAAAATGCTATCAGTTGCAAGATCCAATATAAGAAAATCTTATGGCTCTGATTTATTGGCTCTTTATTTAAGGGTGTGATTCAGCTGTCAAAGAAGTTCACACTTGCCAAAACATTTGCAATTCTCTCATCTTCACTCAACAGAAACAATTTCAGATATGCAAAATATAGTTGCTTTTGAATTTTGAAGACAATTAAGTCCAGTTGTATAAGCTATTCAAATTATATTCTAAACTGGACAATAATTTAATTAGCTTTTTTACAAAGAGAACTTAATAAAATAATATATGTTCAACATATTGACATATATGTCAAATAAATGGCAAAACCAAATACATTATAATCTAACTAAATATTACTTAACCTCCTTCAATATTTACATTTGTTGTTTTTATATGTTGTTCTTGGTTATATGTTGGATATATCATGTCATTGTACAATTGCAAACTTAAGATTTTAGCCTGGTCTAATTTAAGTGGCAAATATTTCACTCATTGTCAGTGTACACAAAAGATACTTGAACTCAAACATCATATGGTCTTTAACATCTCATCTTTCAGTTAGAGTCATATTACAACAATCCTGTGTGGCTGTTTAAAGGGAGACGTTGAAAAAGACATTTCATTAGGCTTATGAATACTGTCAACTACTCTTCCGCTGGAATATTAATTTAACATATGCTAACATAAGAGTGATACACTATAAAATATGATTTGGATCACACAAAATAGTACTTCATGTGCTAACAATACAAATAATATGATTTTAACATGTAGAACTTATAGATATATCATATTTAGGTACTTACCATTACACAATAATTTTCTTGCAATTATTTTTAGGACCAAGTGAACATAATCTCTAAAGCAGAAAAAATGCTCAAGGCATGTGGAATGCTATGCCCAGCAACCAATTGGTGAACCAATAAAAAGACACAGTGACAGTATAAATGTTGCTGGGAAGTCTGGGGCTACCTTTGTTAGTACTGCCATTTCAGACGTGAGGGCAATAAGCTTAAGCACCTCAACCCCTTTTCCTTAGCTGATCTGGTTGGCTGGGCACGTTCCTCCGTTGTCCCACACCTCTGTGAGTCACAGTCCCAAAGCTGCACCTTGGACGAAGTAAATGACCTTTTCTTACTGAGCAGCATTGTCCTTCCTCTAAGATGCATCATCTCCATTCCAGTCACCACCACTGGCCTAGTTCAAAGTCATAGCAGCTCTCACTTAGATTATTGCAGCAGTTTTTCAAATGGTCCCATTATATCCAGTCTCATACTTAATAGCTACCAGATTCATTTATTCGAAGCATAAATCCAACCATAACATCCCCTTAATTTAAACTCTTCAGGAAAAACTGGATCTCTCATACATTGCTGCTGGGAATCTAAAATGGTGTAATGACTTTGGAAAATGGTTTGGCAGTTTCTTAAGAAGTTCAGCATAAATTTATCATATGACCCAAGAATTACCTCCCAAGTAATCACCCAAGAGAAATGAAAACATATGTCTATGCAAAGACTTAGATGTGAATGTGTAAAGAAGCAGTATTTATAATAACCAATAAATAAAAATAATCCAAATGTCCATCAACTAGGGAATAAACACATTATGGTATATCTGTACCATGAAATACTATTTGACAATACAAAGGAATAAACTACTGACACATGTTACAGTACAAGTGAACCTTAAAAAATCTTATGCTAAATGAGAGAAGCCAGATGCAAATGACTGGATATTGTGTGACTCCATTTATGTGAAATGTTTAGAAATGGCAAGTCTATATACAGAATGAATACAGAAAGCACGAATGGGGAATGACAGCAAATGAGTACGAGGGATATTTTGAGGTGATGGAAATATTCTAAAAATAGGGTTGTGTTGACTGCACAACTCTATAAATTTAATAAAACTCATTTAATTATACACTTAAAACAAGTGAGTTTTAGGGCATATAAATGATACTTTGATAAAACTAAAAATAACTGCAAAGGGGAGGCTAAGCATACATGAGGACAAAGGGTATATGAAAAAATCTCTGTATCTTCTCTTCAGTTTTGCTCTGAACCAAAAAAAAACAGTCCTAAAGAAAAAAGGACATAAAATAAAAAGGAAAATGGGGGATATTTTGCAAAGAAAATAAAACAAAGACTCTTAGAAAGAAATACAAAAATGGAAAACTTTCTAAAAGAAACTAACACAAAATTTAACAATTATAACAACAAATTCTTCAGGAGCTCCTGACCCAAGGGTCCAGCCTGGGTTACTATATATCATCCCCAGGATGCTCCCCACTTTTGTCTCTTCCCTATGTCTCCACTAATAACTTACTGTAGTATTGCTGGTAGTTCCTTGCACATTCTAGGCTGTCTCTTGAGTCTATGCCTCTGTTCATGTCCTTATACATGAAATGCTACTCCCACTAGCCATCCCCACCCCGCCCCAACCCCCGTACCAAGCACACTTCTTACTTAACCTTTAAGCCTCAGCTCATGCCACATCTCCAAAGAAACTTACTTTGGTCTTCGTGTTCTCCCTCCAACCCCCTAATCTCAGAATGAAGTAGTCTCCCTAATGCTCCCATTCTCCTAATGTTCCTCTCAATACTGAACAATATACATTTATTTTTTATGTTTATTTATGAGGCTGCCTCCTTCTTTAGACTCTGAGTTTATCATTATTATTACTTTTGGTATCTTTAGAGCCTAGCACAGTGCCTGGCACCTAATACATACTCAAAATGTTTGTGGAAAAATGACTTAATATATATATGGCCGCTAGAGATTCAGAATCAGTATGGAGGGGGCACTGTTATCCAACCTGACATGAACTACTTCTTCATCCTTATTTTTGGCAGCTGAATTCCAGGAGAGATGACATAATGACATCTACATGAGAGCACAGGTTAAAATATTTCATTTATGAACTCACATCACTTCATGTTTTCTAAAATCTGAAAAGGCAATCTTTTGACCAAATCCATCACTTGCACATAGGATGGATCAAGTGTACGCGAGTTGTGACTGGTGACTCGCAATGATGATAGATCACATTGCCTAGCACGCTGTCATTTCCTGACATGATTTACGGTTCACGGTAAAGACCACGAGGGAAGATGGACGGCCACTTGGGGACCACCTGTTACAGGTGAGGAATGCAAGATCATTTTCAGCCATTATGAAATCACCTCATCAGGAGGATTTGGAAGCTAGTCAATAGGCAGTGGGTAAACAAATATGCCAGGCAAACTAAACACCAGCAAATGACAAATTTCAGACATGGGAACTCAGATAAAGCTAGCAGTTTCACACTGCTTCATTTTGTATTACTAGAACTATGTGACTGTGGCATTGCTAAAGTCTGCTCTACATCGAAACGAAGCCACAAAAATGAACACTATCTCCTAGGGCAGTAATACCAAGCCAGTATCATTCTATACAGTATTAGTGATTTGTTTCAAGGCTTTAGGATTATGATTGAAAACAAAATGCATAGCAAATGTTCTAATACAAACTGTGAAGAGAAACATTTTATTTATTCATAACCACACAGTAAAATATAAGACAACATTGAGAAAAGGGTAGAAGGGACAATGTACAGCCCTATAATTTTTTGGTGTGGACTCACAGATTGTTAAATAGAATTCCATGCACACCCCCTCACCCCTTGTAGGACTATCTATTTCAGATATGTTGGGAGAACAATGATGTCTTCCTGAAAATGCACTGAACTTCCCCAAAATGCAGAGAGAGCTGGACTACACAAAGGACGGGAGCTTCTATTGGCTGTAGCATAGAAATTTAATTGTTCTTGCTCTGGTTTTAATTTAAAAATTTTAAAGAGTACAGGAATCTATTAAGGATGGCAGAACAAAGACATTTCTGCCCTGTTCTTTACAACCAACTTAAAACCAAAACACAGAACCAAGAAGCAGAAATGAAAACTTGGAGGGCTGCCAAAGTGTTGTGAAATTTATATCTAGGTGAAATGAGGAAAGCAGCAGGAAGTGTGTGCCTCCATGTTTGCAGGAAGCAGGCAGAATCCAAAGGTAAATTACACTTTCTGAAAGGTCAAATCAGTGACCTCTTCTTTGCAACAGCAAGGACTCTGTTGCTTTGTGAGATGTTTGACCATTACTACCTCTGTTGAGCAGAGTAGAATAACAAGGAAGGTGGAGTTAAGTAAAATGCCTACATATCAGTTTTGCGTTAAAGGAAAAAAAAAAAAAAAGGTAATCAGCCTAAGGGGGTGGAAGGGAAAACGTGAGTGGCAAGAACTTTTTTAGTTGATTATTTCATACACAAAGATAACTTAAACTCCAAATCATTACTCAGATGCTGGTGGCATACTTTGCCAAGAGATACAGAAAGTTTATGCTAGCCCAGGGAAGAATCAAAAGCCTAGGACAATCTTTTGTTGGGAAAATTAAAATTTTCAAGACAAAGGTTCTGAATTCAAGATACTTAAACACTTAACTTATTCCACTGGTGCCCTTTCTAACATTATCTTCTTATGCATAGTTGGCCTGGGGAAAAACTGCAACAGAGATAAACACAAAGAAAGCACGTGAGCAATGCATAAAAAACTCTGGAAGGAAAAAAATGGAAAAAGATAAGAACACATCAAAAATACTCTGTCGAAAAAAGACATAAAAATTATGAGAAGTTTCCTCCCTGAGAATTAAAAGATGGTTTAAAAGATGGTCTTCTGAAACGTGCATAGTCAAGGTAACTACCAGCAAATTTAACAGAAGAAAATATGATTTCCATATAAGACTAAAACAGGCACACACAAGAAATATAGACATATAGCAAAATTAAATAAACAAATAAATATCACTAAACAATGGAAATAACATGAAATACAATGCCAGAGCTAATTGTTATATCAGTAAATTTAAGTGGAATAAAATCACCCATTAAAAGTAAAAGAGCCTCAATTAGGGTCAAAACATAACACAGGTACTACATACGATATTTATCTAACATTAAAATAAGAGCCGGTTGTAAAATATAGTTTAACAAATTCAAACTAAAAGCAAGTGAAAGACATTTTATTAAAACCATACAAAGTCTAATTTAAGGAAAAACACATCAAGCTATCAAATGACAGGCACTGAAAATGAAAAGATCAAAATCCACAATTAAGGTTTGTTTGAATCTTCATAAATGAAATAACATGACATCAAATTCAAAATGCCAAAACTTCAGCAAATATAAGCAATAAGCAGAAATACAATAATGGAAGGAGATTTTAATTAACCTCTCTCAGCCCTTGACAGACATATTAAACAAATATTAAGTAATGTTTAGAGGAAATCAATAACACAGTTCAAATAGTTATTCTTAATAAACAACAAAATATGTACCTGCAAATAGAATAGAGCCTTTTTTCAACTGCCGTTGAACATGTATGGATTGATCATGTTTCATGGCACAAAAAAACCTTAATAAATCCCAACAAGTAGGTATTACATATACCACATTCTTAAATCATAATAACATAGTACCAGAAATTAATAATTAACATAGAAAACAAAATTAAAATATACATTAAAACACTTGGGTAAAGAAATCAAAATTATATTGCAGAATAAGTAGAAATATTAATTATAAAACTTTACAACTTTATCTGATCTTATAAAATAGGTACAGTTCCAGTACTCAAACTGTATTACACTAAATATTTATGTTATTAAGAAAATAAATGAATTAAATTTGCAGTGTAAGTGAGATAAAGTTCAATAAAAGCACTAAATAAGCAGAAAGAATAAATAAATGAAGTTATATAGGGAAAGACAATAAGTTGGAACTATAATAAACTAATATTTACTATGGAAATAAAGTAATACATAAAGCTAAGAGCTGTTCTTTTGCGATGAAAAACTTAATAACAAAAAATTGAGTTACCAATTAGGTAAGTGAGCTATGAAAATAAAAGAAGAAAGTCAGATACTCAAAACACAAACTGAAAATGGGTATATGATCACAGATAAAGAATCATAAAATAGTAAGTTTCTAAAGTCTATATAAATAATTTTAAAAAACCAAAGAAAATAAATGACCTTATGGGAAAGCATAAATTACAAATCTGATGCCAGAGAATTTAGAAAATCTGAAAAGGCTGATTATTCCATAAAAAAGCACAAAACCATACAGCCTCATAGGTAAATTCCATAAAAGTGTCAAGGAGAAGGAGCGCTATTAGAGGGGAGAGCGAGAAAGAGAGCCAGCAAGAGCAAGGGGGAGCACGAGAGCAAGGAAGAGAAATTTCCAAATTCCTTTTGTGAAACCACCGAAACCTTGATCTTGATGATAAGACCTGGTAGAGCGCGCGCGCGCGCACACACACACACACACACACCAAACAGTGCATATGAATGTCTCAAAGATTCTAAAAACTACATTGGGCAATAGAATCCAAAAGCACTGTAGAA